GAATCGTGTCCTCAAAAATAAAGTTGCCGAGTCAAACGCGGATTCGAACTCGCGTTGATATTTAACCCTAATCGTACCACGTGTTTTTATAACGAATCACACCAGAATGTCTCTCAGTCACTTATGAGAATATAAGGAACGATTAAAATGTTATTGCTTTCGTTTAAAGAGCCCAAATTTTAAAAGTCCGAAAAAACTTTTGCAAATGTAATATGAAATAAAGAATTTCAGTAAAAAGTTCAAATGTGACTCAAAGTCAACGTCCGATTAGAGTTAACGTATCCAACGTCAGCTAGCGGAGCTTCATATTAGAATTATTCTGAAACACTGCAATCTTTCCGATGAAATCAGTTTTCCTACGAAATTAGGATCTTAATTGAACTCGATAAGAGTACGTGTACCACGGACACGATAAATGATTCGGCCAGGTAAAATTACAACTTCTTCGTGCCCGACGATCGATGTCTCGCCAGTAATACAGGTCTCCAAAAGCAGAGCCACGCGAAATTTCAACGGAATCGTCGGTATCGGATAATTGGAATCGTCCCGAAAGTTGCCGGCTGCCGGCGAACAGCTCGAAATTTCCCCGTGAGCCCGTAAATTTTCAATTACTTCGACTCGGATACAGCCGCCGGAGCAATAATATACCGCGCCGATGGAACGGCGAACAACGCCGGAGCGTATCAATCGGGGCAGACGGACCGCTTCCGAATTCCTCCGTGGAACTCCACAATGAGAGGCTCGAGCAGCTGAAATCTATTTACCGGATACCGCGATGCGAAAGCGGCCGGGAACCAAAGATCGGCTTTCCGCCGATCGTTCATTGAATCCTTTCACCGCGCTGCCCGCTAATTGCCGAACGTCTCGGCGCAGTCCTCGGAGGCGTTTCTATTCTATTCGGTGAATCCGCGGCCATTTAACCAGGATCCGGAACGCCGGACTGAATTTAGGCGAGTCCAAAGGGAGTGGCCGGGCGAGATAGAAGGGAAACGGGGGTAACGAAGGGTGAGACGGGGGTCGAAGAACGAGCGAGTGGAAGAAGAAGCCACCTTCCAGGCGAGAGGAATGCACCGGCCCCTGCCAGACGCCCGGCGTTTCCTTAATTGCATTTTTATGCTCGCCCGGATTTCCGGCCCGAGGAAGAGGACGGGCGAAAGGGCACCGCGGGAAGGGTTGCGGGCAGAGCGTGGAAGACGCCGGGAGGAGAACAGAAAAGATAGGGCGGATGAAATGGGGCTGCGAGAAGAGAGGAGTTTATTATCCCGCTTGGAAGAGGTTCCTTCGGTGTCCATTAACGTATCTCGATTCAGCGCGGGCCTGGCCGAATAAGACGCGCGATCGACGGCTCCGCTGACCGGCAACGGTTTTCTTCCGCGTCGTTGAGTACCCGTCTCGGGCAATTATCGGATAAACGAGAATCAACGGGTATGATGTCTGCTTGGACGGAGGAAGATAACGCAAATGCCACTGCGCTGATTCGAATTACCTTGTTGGTCTGTTAGGATTCGGAAGATCAATTGATTGGTTATTGGAAAAATGGTTCGATGGAAGAAGGAAAGAAATGAAGAGTTCCGAATTTTGAAATGAGGGAGTTATTAGTTTTGGAGGAAACGAAGCTGGACATTCTCGTTTTCGAAGTTGTGGAATATGGAGAACGGAGGTTTTCAAGGAGGAATTCAGTTCTGAACGAATGCGATTTGCCGTGCTCCTACGTTTACCGTTCCCGTTAAAACAATTTCGATCGTTTGTTAACGCGGCTAACAAGGGGGCCGGAGCAGCGGAAACTAATTACAGGAGTGTCCGGGGAATCTAATTTCGATATTAAAGGAGAGTGGACCGGGCGAGCGGCAATCGGCGAGAGCGGATCGGGCCGACCTTTCGAAAATCTCGTTTGCAAGATTAACGAGCCGGGACGGAACCGTCGGCAATTCCAAACATCGCCGGCAAAAGATCCTCGAGACGGAGGAGCCGGACGCGCGAACCAGAAGGAGAGTCGAGGAATTCCGGTCCGTTGAACAATCGCGACGGAGCTCCTGTAACTGTCCCGTGGAGCTTCCAATCGTCTTCCGAAGTTGTTCGTTTCTTGTTCGATCGCTCTCGCCCTCCCGCAGGAAGTCTTAATTCACTGGGTAAAGGAATGCTGAGTCGGAGTATCGTTCCAATTGAAAAATGTAATTACTTCCTACGATCGCGCTCCGTTCGACCGACGTACAATTTTCACTTCCACCGTTCGTGCCGGCGTTTATCTTGGATGATAATCCGCCGGCTCTTGAAATTAAGTGATAAAAATTAATGCTTCGAATGAAGCCGTTGCCAGCTGAACTTCAACGGCTTCAATTCTAGAAATTATCAAGGTAATACGTGTTCGCTCCAATTTTTTCGAATATGACGATATCCACGAAGTGCAACAACATTCTCGTCCATAAGTGAATTAAACGTAAACAGATGGGTGTACTTTCATTAACCGAATTAGAACTCCAAAGAGTGTACACTCGGGGCAGCGACTCGTTTGAAGATTCGAGCGCAAATATTCAGATACGTGCGTAACGAGGAACAAATATTCCTCTCGAAAAGATGGCAAGGGAGCGTTGTATCGCTCGTGTAAACGAGGAGTACCTTTAATGTAGTTTCCATCGAGGCGGTCGTAAATTGACTACCGTCGCGTCTATCAAATAATAATCACCAGCATTCACGTTTAAGGATCGTACAATTTCATATCTAAATTCCCTCGATCAATATCTCCGAAGAAAGGAATCCGTATTTGCAGCTCGGGGGCTGCTCAATGACTCCATTCGTCGGCCCATCATAATCGGAGGACGAAAGGGTCACGGGGTTCTTTACGAGGTGGCACGGATCGTTCGACGGGGCTCGATAACAGGTTCGAAAGACAAAGGAGGGCGGACCGAGCAGAATCTGGGCACTGAAAGGACGAGAATTTCGACCGGTTCGACAAATACCGCCGTGGGAGAAGGGGGGAGCGTGTAACTGCCGGAAATAAGTTCGAACTGGCTTGTAGCATCGACCATTCGCTCCTTCTGTCCGAGACGCCCCTTCTCGCGGGTCCGGATTTATTGAAATTTTATGCGGTATCCCGATGAGGTCCGACTCGGAAGTTTTATCAACGGCTCTAGGTGGACGGACCCTATATTACCGCGCGCGGAGGGATCAAGCCTGTTCGATTTCGCTCCTCGAAGCCGATTTCTCGCTTATTCCGGCTATCCGCGATTCGAGGAGCGACCGGAATATCTCAGCTAGACGGGATAGACGGGAATTCGGGGTGGAAGGCTGTCCAGAGAAACGGGCGGCCTCATGTTTAAAAGCAAACGCATAAAAATATCCCGAAGAAAATGGCGGACGGTTAAGGGGACGAATATAAATCGCTGGATATTCTCATCTTCTCCCGCCGGATATTAGACCCGGCATCGCAATTCGAACG